TCTATTGCAAAGCGGGGGCTTTAGCTTAGGGATTGGGGTAATTCGAATTTGTTCCTTAATAGATCCGCCAGTGCCATCACGGATTTTTGTGATCGATTAGTAGCCGCATATGTTTCTAACTTACACAGCTACGCAAGTAAAGCAGTGTGTACTCTGTGGTATATTTTTGTGTGATCGATTAGTAGCTGCATATATTTCCAACTTACACAGCTACACAAGTAAAGCAGTGTGTACTCTGTGGTATATTGTTACTTAGATTGATACCTACTTTAATATCAAAGGACCCTAAATAATTACATTCTACCAAATACAATAGGAATTCCCCTAGGGCTTCCTATTTTATTATTTTTTATTTTTTTCTTACCTTTTAAAAAATAATTACATTCATTCTACCAAAACTGACACAATTTAATTTTGTATTCCTATCTTTTCTCTCCTTACATCCACTCCACTTCCCTCTAATTATTAAGTTGACCCAGCATGAAAGTCGTTCATAAATACATTTTTTTTTCCTTTTAGAATAGTACAAATTGGAGTATACATAAAGCAACCCAAGAACGCAACACCTTAATTTCCATCTAATCTAAGTCAATTTCTCTTAATCATTATTTCTCATTAATGGCTATTCCGATTAACAACAATGACAACAAACAGTTGACCAACTTAGCAGAAGATAATCAAGCGGATTATAATGTTGATGCTCTGTTTAATCACGATGATCCATTTAGGACTGCTTTTCACTTTCAACCAACACGATATTGGATGAACGGTATGCATTATTATTTCTCTTATTATTAGCATAATTATTCTATTTAATGAGCTATCTAATTTGTGTTAATTAATTACATGTTAATGCCCTTAATGGATGTGACTGGGTTGTTCGTTGCTGAAATTGGTGCTGAATGTTGGATTGGTTTTTGGGTTGACTTTGTGCAGATCCAAATGGTTAGTTTTTACTTTACCTCTCTAGCTTCATCTCCTTTTGTTTTATACTCCGTATTAGTTTCTTTTAACATCATGCAATTACATATTACGGAGTACCATTATTTTGTTGCGTATGTGATACGAAGTATATGGGTCTGTTCACATTTATTGAATTGAGCTGAAATGAATTGAACTGAACTTGATTAGAGCTGAACTGAACTGAACTGAATTTATTGGAGCTGAAATGAACTGAAATTAAGTATATGTAAACAAGTTGGTTAGGTTGATTGGTTAGGTTTGAATCATTTACAGATTAAATCATTGTATTTCTGAGACGACTGTACACAGTAATTTTTTTTCAGTTATTATAAATCGTTATAATATGCATGTTTTAGCTTACTCTTTTGTTTACATGTTATAGGACCCATGATTTACAAAGGAATATATCACTTCTTTTACCAATAATAAATGCTGAAGGTACATTTTGGAAACCAGAATTAGTTTGGGGACACTCTACATCTACTGATCTAATCAACTGGACAACACAACCAAATGCCCTTATTCCATCTGAGCCATACGATATCCGGGGATGTTGGTCGGGTTCCGTTACCATACTCCCCGGAGATAAACCGGCCATCCTATACACCAGTATCGACAGTCAACATTACCAAGTTCAAAACCTAGCCTTACCCAAAGATTTGTCTGACCCTTACCTTAAGGAGTGGGTTAAGGTACCTCAAAATCCAATAATAGTTGGCACACCCGACGTTGATCCCTTTAATCTTAGGGATCCAACCACTGCTTGGCTATTACCTGACGGTAAGTGGCGAACCATTATCGGTACGCAACAAGGGAGGAATGGATCAGCAGCTCTTTACACAAGTGAGGACTTTGTAACTTGGAGCATCGTCGATCATCCTTTACGTTCAGTTGTAGATTCCGGAATGTGGGAATGTCCTGATTTTTTCCCGGTCTATGTTGGAAAGTCAGTAGGTGCTGATACATCTGTTATTGGTGAAGATGTTAAACATGTTCTTAAGATAAGTTTGGTTGATGGTCAAAAAGAACTCTACACTATTGGAAGGTACGACATTGTTAACGACGTCTATATACCAGATGAGGGATCTATTGAAAGTGTTTCGGGTTTGATGTGTGACTACGGTAGATTTTTTGCTGCAAAGACATTCTTTGATAGTATGAATAATCGAAGAATATTATTCGGGTGGGTTAATGAATACTCAACCAAAGAAGATAACATTAAAAGGGAATGGGCTGGACTACAGGTATATATATTACTACCTCCGTTTTATATTATTTGCAACGATTATATATATTACTACCTCCGTTTCATATTATTTCAAACGATTAGACATTTTTCCTCTCTACTTTATGTTAAATTGTTGCAAATAATATGAAACAGATGTGGTATATAATTAATCACCCTACTAACCTTTTATTTGTCCTTCAATATCTAGTTCTTTATTTTTCAACATATTGATAATATATATCTTGTTCCTGTACTCAAGGGAATCCCAAGAACAATTTTGCTCGATGAATCTGGCAAACAATTGGTGCAATGGCCAGTCGCGGAAGTTGAAACACTACGACATGGTCAAGTAGACTTACCTTCGCAAGTAATTAGAGGAGGAGGAGTCATTGAAATAACAGGAATCACTAGCTCTCAGGTTAATATATACATTTTCCTACAGTTATGGTTTGATGCATCACAAATATTTTTAGTCTTTTCTTTGAAATAATTTATTAATTTATTTATTTCGGGTATCTTTTGATCATTTTAACATACTACCTCCGTTTCTTATTAATTACAATTTTTGGGTATTATTTGTGAGATATAAAATATTTCAAAGTTGCAACTAATACGAAACGGAGGTAGTACAGAAAATTACTAATGGTCATCAATCCCTTGGTTATTATTGTTAAAGGCAGATGTGGAAGTTTCATTCAAAATACCAGAATTAAAGGATGCTGAAGAAATGGACCCAACATGGACCAACCCAGAGGCATTGTGCCACGAAAAGGGAGTATCAGTTGAAGGACGAATTGGGCCATTTGGGCTGCTAACACTTGCTTCTGCTGGCTTAGAAGAATACACTGCAGTTTTCTTTAGAGTTTTCAAGGACCCAAATACTCCAAACAAATATGTGGTCTTAATGTGCAATGACAAAAGCAGGTTACCACCAAGTTTTTTAAGTGTTCTATTTTAATCGTCATATTAGCTGACATAAAATTTTGATCAATAATATTTTCACATTAAAACGATTCAAACAAACATAAATATCGGTTAAAAAAAAATGGTGTATGTCAATACTTTAATTTTGTTTGTACTTTGTAAAAGTTTAGTCCTCACTAATAAATAAAAATAATATATATATATATATTAAAAAAAAAAAAAAAGGAAAGAAGCATAAAAGGTTAATTGAAAGATAGAAACATTAATAAACTTAATCAATTCTAAGCTTGTGTTTGCAAATTAGCATTAATCATTAATTTCTATATGCTTTGTAATACTACCTTTGTTTTTCTGGTTGCAGGTCTTCTCTAAATCCAAATACTGAAAAACCCAGTTATGGAACGTTTATGGATGTGGATCCTACCAAAGATGAGTTATCCTTAAGGACTTTGGTAAGTTCAAATAAAGTTTTTATAAATAATAGTGTTAACACGTCACACCTTCCTTTTACATCTGGGTGCATCTAGAATTAGGTGCAATAAAGTTTGACTTTTTACTCATTTGGTGATTTTTGTTTATTTAAAATCATTTTCAAATGAGCAATAAATATCAAGTGAGCAATCAATTTTTTTTATGCACATAATTCTAGGTGCACTCGCCTCGGATGGAAGATTGAATACGTATTAACACAATTACAAAAATTTGTAAGAGTTTGCATTATCAATTATATTTATTAATATATTGTATGGGACAGATTGATCACTCCATAGTGGAGAGCTTTGGTGCTAAAGGGAAGAGTTGCATAACTGCAAGAGTTTATCCCACACTAGCAGTTAATGACAAAGCAAAGTTATATTTGTTCAACTATGGAACCGAAGATGTTTATATTACTAAATTGAGTGCTTGGAGTATGAGGAGGGCTGAAGTTAATCTTCCAATTGATAATTAATAACTAGGAAAACTAAGTAATGATTTGTGATTACTCATAATTTCTTTTATTTTATATTCAATTTGTTTGATAATTTGGAAGAATATGTGAATTCTATTTCCTATTTATCCTTTTATTGTATTTTGTAAGAGAGTTATATGGTTTTACTTTACTTTAAAGTAAGGGTTTTACATGTAACTAAATTTATTTTCGATCTATTAATTTAAATATAATAATATTGGGTTATTTTAGCTCATTAACAAATTTTATATGTAGTATTCTCTTTGTATGTTGGAATTGTATACAGGTTTAAGAGATTGTACACTAATTGAGAAGTTTTTGGCTTCTCATCAAGTTCTCTATGTAGTACGTAAGTAGGTTTTAAGTGATTGAATTTGTGGTTGAATATAGCTTCTTGCCTTCTCATAAAATTTGACTTACAAATCTCTAAAATTACTTATTAGTTATTACTATATTCTTTAATTTACAAAAGGGCCGGTCAAATTTATATCATGATCACTCCGTATATAATTTTGATGTGCATTTTATCAGATCATGTGGCTAATGAAGTCCGTGTTAACAAATTAGAAAATAAATAACTTTCAACAATATCCATAAAGCAATCAATTAAGGTAAAAATGATACAAAAGAAAAGAATATTACGGAGCACTTTAACTTCTAAGGCAAAAATAGATTGAGATATTCTAGTTCTTATTTTAAATTCGAAATTCAACAAAGCCGGAGATTTTTTAGGGATTTGCAAAGGACAAATGATGTAGATAAAGTTTGATACATGTTACAAAGTAATATTTTGAATACCAACTTAGGAGTTTAATGCTAAACATTATTGTACGACCATCAAATGCAACCTACCAAAAGCTCTCTCCAATATAAACAAGATGATTAAAAATTAATCAACAAGTATAATAGTGGTTAGTTAATATTATCTTTTTTTGTGTACAAATGGTTAATTTATTAATTATAATGCTATATAATCAAGTCATATTATAATATCCAAAATCATTGACATACAAACTAATTGGTGCATTTGAACATACCATACAGGATACAGTTTATCTATCTGTTCAATACAAAAAAAAAGTAAACACAACACCTACCTACCCTTTGAAGTTGAATCTAATCCAAATCAACATTATTGAATCTCTCTCAGCAATGGTCATTCCCATCAATGGGAGTTGGTTAGTGCTGAGTATTGCTCTTATGCTATCAAGCCATGGAATGATCATCACAGCTCAACATCAAGAGGTCCAAATTTCATGATTAGATTTTAGTATTTTTATCTGATTTTTTATTGTAATATAATTAAGTGTATTATTATTGATGATCAACAGGTTAATTATGATACTAATGATCCACATAGGACTGCTTATCACTTTCAACCACCTCAAAATTGGATGAATGGTATGTATGCTAATTTTTATTTTTTTTAGCTACCATCTCAACTTTTCATCATTTTTTTTTCCAAGTTACTATTTATTTTACTTTTTATGTCAACTTTTTTTAATGTATATGCTGCTGAAATATGGGGAAATGGTGCTGAAAATTGGATATGGATTTGATTTGTGCAGATCCCAATGGTTAGTTTCTTAACTACCTCTTTTCCAATCAAATCTCGTGTACATTATTATCCTTCGTGATTCTCTATACTATGCTAAACTTGACGGAGATTCATATTTTGTCATAGGACCCCTGGTTTACAAGGGAATATATCACTTATTTTACCAGTATAACCCCAATGGTGCATTTTGGCAACCTGATATAGTATGGGCACACTCTACATCGACTGATTTAATCAACTGGACACCACAACCAATTGCCCTTACGCCTTCGGAACCTTACGATATCAATGGTTGTTGGTCAGGGTCTACAACTATACTTCCTGGAGATATACCAGCAATCTTATACACAGGATTTAGCAACCAAAAATATGAAGTTCAAAATCTAGCCTTACCTAAAAATCTATCTGACCCTTACCTTAAGGAATGGACTAAGGTACCCCTAAATCCACTAATGGTTGTCACACCTAATAACAACCACAGCTTCAATGCTTCATCTATTAGAGATCCAACCACGGCGTGGCGGTTAGCGGATGGTAAATGGAGATTGATCATTGGTACTCATCAAGGAAAGCGTGGAATCGCGGTTCTTTACACTAGCAAGGACTTTGCAACTTGGAACTATGTTGAACGTTTTTTTCATTCAGCTGAAGATAACGGAATGTGGGAATGCCCTGATTTTTTCCCTGTTTATGTTGGAAAGTCATTAGGTGCTGATATATCTGTTATTGGTAAGGATGTCAAACATGTTTTCAAAGTAAGTTTATTTGATACTCAATATGAGTACTATACTATTGGAACGTATGACATTAATAAGGATATTTACGTGCCTAATGAGGGATCAATTGAAAGTGATTTGGGTTTGAGATATGATTATGGTAAATTTTACGCGTCAAAGTCTTTCTTTGATAGTATGACTGATCGTAGGATAGTGTTCGGATGGGTTAATGAATCTTTAACGCAAACAGAATTTATGATAAAGGGGTGGTTCGGAATACAGGTAATTTAATTATTGCACATTACAAACCATTTTTTAGTGTATGTATAGATTTGATTATATGTGCATGAATTTGATTAGTGAAATATTGTTGTTGTATATATAAGGCAATTCCAAGAACAATTGTGCTGGATCAATCTGGGAAGCAATTGGTGCAATGGCCAGTGAAAGAGGTTGAAACGCTACGAGAAAAAAATCATGTGGAATGGTTATCTCAAGTAATCAAAGGAGGATCACTTATTGAAATATCTGGCATCACAAGTTCTCAGGTTAATTCGCGCCTTACTTTTTTCTATAGAAAAGTACAATACTAGTTTAAGGATCTTGCTACAAAGATCAACTTGCACTTGAAATGACAATATGACATACGTAGTAGTTGGTAAATAATTAAGCCGTTAACACTTAACGTATAATGGTAATGAAAATGAATTTGTATATACAACTAATTGAAGTAATTAGCTTAGTATAAAAATAGTATATTCATTCATTCCAATAATAATGCTAAAAACGTTACAACAAAGACCTTGTATATATAAAGCACATAATTACCACCTAATCCACTATATATATACCTAACCTCTGTCCCAAGCTCTTTTTTAAGCCAATTGAGTGTACTAATTAGAAGAAGCTAATCAATTTTCTTTATTTTATTATTATTATTATATTGTTGAAGGCGGATGTAGAAATTTCATTCAAAGTACCAGATTTAACTTACGTTGAGGAATTAGACCAAACATGGACCAACCCACAAATATTGTGCAGCCTAAAGGGTACATCCATTGAAGGAGGACTTGGGCCTTTTGGGCTGCTAACACTTGCTTCTACGGGCTTAGAAGAATACACTGCGATCTTCTTCAGAATTTTCAAAGGCCCAAATAAATATGTTGTCTTAATGTGCAGCGATCCAAGCAGGTTAGTATTTTAGGTCTTTAAAAGCACTAGTTAACACTACCTTTGTTTCTTTTTAGTTGACACGTATTACTTTTTAGGAAGTTTTTTGTTTAGTTGACACGTTTCCTTTTGGGGTAAATTTTTTACCTTGCATTTACAAGCTACCCCACTTGTTTTTTCATTATCTCTCACACTCTTTCCTCTCCTTAATATATGTGCCTAAATCAAACGTGTCAACTAAATAGAAACGGAGAAAATACTACACTTTCTATGCCAAAATAAATAAATAAATAGTCACATATATTAATGATTTTACAGGTCTACTTTAAACCCAACAACCGATAAACTAAGTTTCGGGACTTTTGTGGATGTGGATCCTGAAGATCTTTCTTTAAGGACTTTGGTGAGCTTGAATTAGCCTTTAAAAATTAATTTTTATTTACACTTTTAATTATTTTGTAAAACAATAAGTGAATTTTTCCCCTAATATATGGCAGATTGATCATTCTATTGTGGAGAGCTTCGGTGCCAATGGAAAAAGTTGCATCACAACAAGAGTTTATCCCACATTGGCAATTAATGACAAAACAAAGTTGTATGCCTTCAATTATGGAACAGTGAATGTTAATATTACTAAATTAAATGCTTGGAGTATGAAGAAGGCCCAAATCAATCTCTCCAAGAACATGGAATATCACAATGAGGAGCATAAAGATGAATTATGAATTTTATGATAGATGATAGCTTCATTTTGTTTTGTGATTCTTATTCCTATAGTGGAGGAGCAATTGTTTGGTAATTTTTATTTTAATTTTTAAAAAAGTTTTTTATTAAATCTGTCTTGTGTTAATATGATCATAGACTTGAAATTTGGAATTAGATAAGCTTAATTTTATTTTATTTTTTAATATTATACATGTGATATATATATATATATATATATATAATCCAATCAACACTACACAAACTTGAAGTAGTCACAGTTGTACTCCAACCTAAAAAAATGTCAAGCTATACGATGACCTGGGGGGAGTATATGCATAATAAAGGATTAATGGTTAACAAGTATTGTACTCGTATATCCTCTAACATTCAAAAATCCACAAATCATGGCATCATGCCAATTGTCATGGTGGATTGGCAACATATGAGGTTCTCTAAAAGAAATAAAACAAATATTGAAGGGATGTTATCTTGGTAATGCAAATTATAACCAAAACTATTGAATTCACTATTAATAATTAAAATCACATACAATTAATCAAAATATTTCAAAATGACCAAAATAAATCCAATTGTACTAATACAAGTATACAACCCAATGTATGTATACGTATATTAACACAATAGACCCAAGTTGTCTTAGAAAAGCCATTCCTAAAAAAATTAAACAGGTAAGATAATGAAACTTTACAAAGATCCCATTTTCCGGAGCACGATGGATGTTTATTAGATTGTACAACTAAGAATTGCAGATGATATGAAAAAGACTATTGCAAAATCTTATTTTATAATCCAATAATAATATAACAAAGACTGCTTCTTTAAGTCAAAATTATTATATACTTCGTGTAAATGTATATCATATGTTAAGTAAATGATTACTACTAATAACAATAGTTTAATAATATACATCCAATCCATAAATCGAACCCCAACACTTAGCTACTAATTATTCATCAAATCTTAATCAAAAATTCTAAATCAAACTTTCTCACTAAAAATGGTTATTCCTAATCCTAACAGTGGAAGTCGTTGGTTTTTGCTCAGTATTTATCTGGTGCTACTCAGCCATGGGTTGTCCACCATAGCAGAAGATCAGACGGTCCATAATAATCATGATGATATGTTTATTGTTGATGATCAGATGATTAATCGTGAAAATAATGATCCATATAGAACTGCTTTTCACTTTCAGCCACCCCAATTTTGGATGAATGGTATGCTATTTTTCTCTCTCTTATTATCTCTTAATTCTTCTCTAATGTATTCGATTAGTTATCTAATTCAAGATTATCAACAGCTAATGGTTGTGTTTTTTTTGTTTTTTTTTTTTTTTGGTTGCTGGAATATTCTGGAATTGATGTTGAAATTGGATATGATTTTGGGCTGGATTGATTGCAGATCCTAATGGTTAGTTCTTAATTACCTTTTTTTTTCGCTTTTTAATTTGTTTAATATTTGGCTTAATATACACTAGTGACTAGTTTAAGGTCATAATACTCCATTGCACTTTACATTATGCATCTTGCTGTATTATTCCTGTTTTTAATGGTCAAGATGAATAGAGATTAGTTTGTGCCTAATTTTAAAAAGGAACTTTTTCTTTGGTGCTTAAAAAGTCCTCGGTAGTTCATTGGCTTTCATAACTGTGAACTTTCTAGCAGTCAATACATTTATACATTACTCTGTATTATTTAATTAGATGGAAGAACCATTTTACTAAAGTGGTTACATTTTTTTTTTATAAAGGTATACTAATAATGTAACATTTAATTACGTGTTGGTATAAGTTATAACATTTAACTATCTTAAGACACTCATTAGACAAAATAAACATGATCATATATAGACCGATAAAATCTTCTTGTATGTATTAATAGGCAATATACGGTCAAAAATTTAAACTTTGGCCTTAAAGATGTAAACTATAACCATTTAAGTGAACTAGAAAGAGTAGCCGCACTAGGGCTCCCCTTGTCCCAAGGAGGCCGTAGGGGAGGGGACGGGTATAAAGCGCAGCACGGTTGTCCAATGACGCTTGCTTAAGGCTTGTAAACAATGGACCTGCATAGTTCAAGGGAGGGGGTTTGTAACATTTTATTAATTACAAACCTTAATTCTCTTTTGTTTATGTGTTATAGGACCCATGATTTACAACGGAATATATCACTTGTTTTACCAATACTATCCCAATGAGGCTGTTTGGCACACTCAAATTGTATGGGGACATTCAACATCAACCGATTTAATCAACTGGACACCCCAACCAATTGCCCTTATTCCATCCGAACCATACGACATCAACGGATGTTGGTCGGGTTCTGCTACCATACTCCCCGGAAATAAGCCTGCAATCTTATACACTGGTATCGACACTCAAAAGTACCAAGTCCAAAACATGGCCTTGCCCAAAAATTTGTCTGACCCTTACCTTAAGGAATGGGTTAAGGTACCTCAAAATCCCTTAATGGTTGGTACACCCTCTAATGACAACATCAATGCTTCCGAATTTAGAGATCCATCTACTGCGTGGCAACTACCAGACGGTAAATGGAGAGTTATCGTTGGTACACAACATTTTAAACGCGGCTTAGCAGTTATATTTACGAGTGAGGACTTTATTACTTGGAGCAACACCGAACATCCTCTTCATTCAGCTGAAGGCACCGGGATTTGGGAGTGCCCTGATTTTTTCCCTGTTTATGTTGGAAAGTCATTAGGTGCTGATACATCTGTTATTGGTAAGGATGTCAAGCATGTCTTCAAAGTAAGTTTATTTGATACTCAATATGAGTACTACACTATTGGAACGTATGACATTGATAAGGATGTCTATATCCCGGATGAGGGATCAATTGAAAGTGATCTAGGTTTGAGGTATGATTATGGTAAATTTTACGCGTCAAAATCATTCTTTGATGATGTAACTAATCGTAGAATATTATGGGGGTGGGTTAATGAATCTTCAACCCAAACAGATGATATCAAAAAGGGTTGGTCCGGACTTCAGGTAACTAATCAACAATTACTAAGCTCCATAATTTTTTTTTTTTTTCTATGTACATGTATCTAATTAGCAATGTCATGTACTTGTGTGTATTAAGGCAATTCCAAGAACAATTGTACTTGATAAATCTGGCAAACAATTGGTGCAATGGCCACTAACAGAAGTTGAAAGTCTACGAGAAAATCCAGTACAATTGATTTCTCAAGTAATTGGTGGAGGGTCGCTCATTGAAGTATCTGGAGTCACGGCCTCTCAGGTTTAATTCTCCTTATTGGTCTTACTAATTTTCTATGATGTGTCATACTCCGTATAAGATTTAAGTTTGAGACAACTCCTTATGCATGTTAATTTATGTTAGTCGACCTCAGTCACTCCAGCACTAAGGGATTGTTCACATTTACTTAATTTCAGTTCAGTTCAGCTCTAATCAGTTCAGTTCAGCTCCTAATTTCCCTCTCATAAAATATTCAGTTCAGTTTAGTTCAGCTCCAATCAGTTCAGTTTAGTTCAGCTCCAATCAGTTCAGTTCAGTAAATGTGAACATGCCCTAAACCTTTCTTGCAATTGACAATTTTTGTTGCATTAAAACAATTTCTAAAATAATACGAGTATAGTGAATGGATTAAAATTTAATATGAACTAATTATGGGGAAACAAGTATTTATTTATTTTTCCTTAATAGCTTATAACATTCTTTTTTGGGTAAAGGCGGATGTGGAAGTTTCATTCAAAGTACCAAAATTAAAGAATGTTGAGGAATTGGACCCAACATGGACCAACCCACAAATATTATGCAGCAGGAAAGGAGCATCCATTGATGGAAAAGTTGGGCCATTTGGACTCCTAACACTTGTTTCGACGGGCCTTGAAGAGTACACTGCGGTCTTCTTCAGAATTTTCAAAAGCTCAAGCAAATATGTGGTCTTAATGTGCAGTGACCAAAGCAGGTTAGTAGTTTAAATGTTTAAATAATATACCAAAATATTAATCATGAATCATTTTTATATCAGAAATTAGACATCCGTTAACTTTTATTTACAACTTTGGAATATTTTATATCTCACAAATAATACGTCAAAGTTGCAAATAAAAGTTAACGGAGGTAGTAGTAAATGTCCATATTGGATAGGAACACGGTAACAAACTAACACAAATTGTGTCTTATTTGTTGGCTGAAGTTTCAAGTTTGTTCTTTTGATTTGCACAGGTCTTCTCTAAATCCAACTACTGATAAACTAAGTTTTGGAACATTTGTGGATGTTGATCCTGTCAATGATGAGCTATCTTTGAGAATTTTGGTGAGTTACGACAAACTTTTTAAAATCATATATATTCCCACATTCATTAAAATTTTACAGAAGTATTGCTAAACCTTTTTTTAAATTCTTTGGGACAGATTGATCATTCCATAGTGGAGAGTTTTGGTGCCAATGGAAAAAGTTGCATTACTGCAAGAGTTTATCCAACACTAGCAACTAACGACAACGCGAAATTGTATGTGTTCAATAATGGAACCGAAGATGTTAAGATCACTAAATTGAGTGCTTGGAGCATGAAGAAGGCTCAATTGAATCTCCCAACAACTATGGCTTCTCACACCAACAAGATGGATAAACAAGAGTTATAACAATAATAGATTTATTTGATTTCAATGTATAAGATGATATAATCTATATATTTAAGCTAAGGCGAGTTTTACACCACCTAGATGTATTGTTTAACTTTTTAATCTTACTCTAATGTATACTGTATGAATTGTGAGTCGAGAATCTATTTGATATAGTAGATTAATAGTCATTTATACATGTTTGTCATTATTTATTAGTATTTTTAAATTGAAAACGGATTCAATTAAATCATTACCGTTACATACGTCACCTTTGGTTAACAGGTTTGGTTTGGTAATGGTTACCTAGTGTTTGGTTAGGTAATGATTTTCACCTGTTTGTTAACTCTCTAAAATCCAGTGTAACAATTAACCTAACCTTCAACCAAAAAAAAAAAAAAATAGAAGGATTTAAGTGATTCTTTAAACAAAACAAATAAAAAAAGTAAGGGCTAATTGTTTCTATTTCCACTCTTTTTTGGTTTCTTTTACATTCCATTTTCAATATTTATACCAATACCACTCAATGATTAACGTGGAGGGTTCCACACGGCTATTCTCTTGTTAAAACTAAGCTAGGAAGGAAGAATCTGCATGATTAACTAAATTAGGCTATGTGTTTATACAACTATACAAGGCAATTAATAGAAGCCTCTAGAATTTGGATATGTAAAGGCCTTATACTCGTAAACATTTTTTTTGTTTTTTGTTTTTTAGGTATGCGCATATCCAGCCACCAATGTCCAATAGTGAGTAATACTCCTAATGAGTGGATTTGGAAGTGTATAATTAAAGTTTCTTATAATACTTCCAACATTGGTTTTCACATTATTTAAGTACAACTTTTAAAAGGTTAATGTCTTAAAATATCGACATTCATATTAGTCAAAATGTTAAGATTATTATAAATCGGATGAAGTAACTATATATTAAATATTAAGTATCAAATCTCAAACATGAGTATATCAATTAAGGATTATTTCATAGTCCTTACATACATTACATTCGTTAGTGCGACAGAGAAAAATAGACATATAATTAAAAAATGGAGGGAGTACCACGAAACTAACTACATTATTTGAAAAGAAAGGAACTGACAATTTCAATTTTTGTTTCTTTTGGAAAGTTTCAAGGTTTGAAAAACTAGGGATTACTATGAATTTTAAATGCATGTCAGCAAGTGTGTACACCACAACAATTGTGATAGATACACATATAAGTCATGTAACAGTTTCTGCCGTACTTTCAATCACCAATGAAGATTTCACATGAATTTGGTTGTGAGGTTACTTGCACAGTCACACTTGAAAGTCTCCCCTCAAAACGACCAACTTCATCAGCATTAATTCATTCACAAGTTTCAAATAATCTAACTACATTGCAACTTTGTCAAACGACAAAATCTAAGTTGACATGATTTTTCTCTATTTTCTTTTATTAGAAGACTCAATTGTCACATTTGCTTAAAAAATTTGACCAATAATGAACCCACCAACTAGTAATACACTAATACTTCCTATAATCCTGTTATATACTACAGTACTATATGCTAGCTCGTGAAAGTTTTATATATACTCCACACATAACTTCACAAGAACATACACAAAATTCGAGTTTGTAATCAAGTGAAACATTACGATAGAAATATCGGAACATAAACATTAAGGATGATAGTCATATACGAGTATACAATTCGTATTTCTTTGTACGGATCGGATATTATTTTTGAAGTTATTTTCAACATACATGTGAATGCGTTTTGAATATGCAAATCGACTATTTCACTGATTTATAAAGCAAAGATCATTAAAGTTTTAATTTCCCTCATAAACTTACACTTAAACTAATGCGCATTTGATGCCTAGTTGCCCACAGAAAATATATTAATAGAAGAGACGCAACATTTTCAAAGAGTGGTACCCACCATATTTGTAAGCATCACTGACCAACAATCCCTCTATAAAAAAGGGTGGAAACCACATAATGTTTTTGTCCCAATAATTATTGCACCAAAACAAACAAATTTGTTTCTCAAACTTACCATAAACCATACCTCAAATCATAAAGCTTCTAAAAACTACTTGACATGAAAACTCTAAGCAATCCTTTACTATTTTTTCTCCTGTTCATTACCCTTGTACATGCATACTCCCACCATAAGACTACCAATGACCTTGTGACCACTACATGCAAGCAAACACCCGACCCGGTACTATGCGAAGCCGAGCTCCGGTCCGACCCACGGAGCTCCAAGGCTGCTGACACTCAAAGCCTGATCCTGATCATGATAGACGATGTTAAAACCCGGTTTTCGGACTCACTTCAATATGTTGAGGAGTTGGCCCGGAAGACCCATGACCCGGATACCATCCGGGCCTTGAAGCAGTGTATCCGGCTTTACAGGGTTGTGCTGGATACAAGTATAGATTTAGCAGTTAGAGCGGTGAAGCAAGGGAATCCAAAGTTTGGAGAACAAGCCATGGTGGATGCAGGTAATGAGGCTGAGGCGTGCCGGATGGCGTTCCCGGAGGATAAGGTTCCGGGCCCAATTCCGGGTCAGACACGGATGCTTCATGGTGTATCTAATGTGGCTGCTTCTATGATTAAGGATTTGGAGTGAAGTTTTAGTTCCTTGTGTGGTAAATACCAAGAGTATTTGTTAAGTCCTTCAACATACTTCCTAGTACCAAATAAATGTCTCACAAGCCGTGTCTAATTTCTTTTAATTCGTCTGATTCAGAAAAAAGTTGTACAAAGAACATTATCCAAGTTACAAAATTAAGAAAGTGGCATACTATTTAAAGACAACTTATAATAAAAATGGCAAATCTTGTATCACCTTCACATATGTGATCCTAATTCGCAAGTAACTTTTGCAAAGTTACAACTTTATTAAAAAAAAAAAAAAAAAAAAAAAAACCTTTTGTGTTTTGATCTTTAACTAATCTGTAACTAATCAAGCATAAGCAAACCAAAACTTGAGTTAATCATCAAGGACATTGGGAAATGCTTAACAAGTAAGCATTAATATGAATAACTAAAAGCCAGCAAATGACAGGAGTTATATCTTATCTCATCTCATGCAATTCTAGTGCGCAACTTCATCTTTAAGACTTTAAGTCTATGTCCTGTACTTTCCGCTATATAAATTAGAGATTACCGTTTGAAATTATACACAATTTGACATAACTAGTATTTGTTACTAAGCACAAAGATATTGCACTTATTTATGTATAGCTGAAACTTTTGATTATCTACTACTTTCTCATCCCATTAACAATGGCCACTACTAAGTACTAAAAGGGCCTTAGATCACTAAATAATCCAGTAAACGTGGTAGTTTCGACAGAAATCAAAGACCAGAGAAAAAAAAAAAAAAAAAAAAATCAGTTCATCTAAAAATCATAATAGAATTGAAAATAAAGGGAATAAAGTGAAAATTTACCACATTTTTAAATTCAAATACAAGATTATAGAAATGGGAAGAAAGCCGAAAAGAAAAGAAAAAAAAAAAGTCTGTAGATTTATACGAAAATTTAGAAGATTAATGTGAGAATGTCTACAGCCTAGGAATAAGTTTGGGGCCGAATATTGAAAGATATTAAGTGAAATTAACAAAACTAGTTCCACGAAATAAGTTAAAAAAAAACTTCCAGTCAAACTGTTCTCAACTTTAGGGTTCCTAGTCACAGCTTGCTATGAAAACAGAATATAACAGTCAATTTTCAAAAAATAGAGAGCATGAACATATATACAAATTTGGACGCAGCAAAAAGAAATAGTTTGTAATCAAACATATGCTTAGTGACAAAACGACCTTAGGCATTGATTCAACAATGGTAAGGCAAATGAAGAGAATAAATATATAAACAACCCATATATTTCAAATCTTCACTTTCAAACCCACAAATCGAACAAAGAACACTCACTACCCAAGCACATTACAGAGCCTCCACATAAGTGAAAGGGAAGACGCAATGAATTAAGTAATTGATAACAGAAGGAATTGCATCTATCAAAACTCCAGGGGTAAACCTCAATACCATATAACAGCATAGACCAGATGCGCAGTCAAGCTTCTGTTTCTTCAGGTAGCACGAGAGCAACTACTGTTGCTTGCATTCAGGAGGATGCTCTCCTGCAGGTAGTCCAGCTTGTGCTCTTCCACCCTTCTGTTGATAACACACAATTCAAATTCACATATAATGTATTGTCAAGAGATCCTCAAGCAACCAAATAATGACCGTTAAAGTTTACCTTAGGTCCAGATGATGTCTGCAAAAGAAAAATAAAGGCCACATTTAAAATAGAGCTCCCCATCCACTGATTTATATTGTAAAGATAGTTTTTTTTTTTTTTTTTTTTTTGGGGGGGGGGGGGGGGGGGGAGGGGGGGGTTCAACAAACAGTTGCTTGCAGAATCTATACCTTCTTCCTGATCTTAATTTCTTCCTCATCGTCGTCGTCATCATCATCCTCATCATCATCATCATCCTCGTCTTCATCATCATCGTCTTCGTCATCATCATCATCCCCTTCGCCAACTATATCATCAAACTCATCCCCCTGAACAGCCTCTCCAGTAAACCACGATACAGCATGAGGTATAATTTTGTCTCGGATAGTAGAGCTGTGTCACAAGAAGTGTTCCAAGGAAAATTAGTTAGCAGTCAGCACAAAACAATGATTTTGATTTTGTACCAAACAAACCCATGTCATTGATCACAATTTGATTACTAACCCAATCTCATAATCTTGTTCCATCATATTCTGAAGTTCCTCTGCCTGTCGGTACATCAAATTGGTAGTTAGTAGTTAGTTGTTACATGAGCCTTGATTGATAAAAGCACTAGAGAAATCAAACTTACTGCATCTTCGTCAAGATCATCATCATCATCAGGAACTTGTGGGGGGTTGAAAAAGTTGAAAAAGCTTTCACAACTCTCAGTCTTAGTAATTGGTTTGGCACTCTTTGATCCCTTTTTAGGCTTCTTCTTCAGGATCTTTTGTGTTAAACATTTTCCTTGGTGCCACTCAATCTCCGTTCTACACAAATGGAATAAAGAGATTATAATCGAGTGCATGAGAAAATTGATAATTCCCAACAGTTAGCCGCTTACCCTATAGCCTTCTCTAAAATAGGCTCATCCTCATCAATCATGTGATAAGTTTTAGTAAGAACAGTATTTTTAAAATAGGGATTTGTATCAAAAAAGAACTCAAGCTTGAATCCCTTTGGATCATCAATCCTGACCCACTTGATATCTTTGAGATATTTGAGAGCTCCTTCATCCCGCTCTGTAATCTGGAATATAAACTTATGTCACATATCCATTCCAATTCATCAAGAGATCTAAATTTATCCGCAAAAACAGGGGAAAATTGAGAAAAAACTGCTCACCTCTTCGGCCAAAACATCATTGGTCTTCATTGCAGTGAGCCAAAAGTTAGGTACACCTTTCTCTGAGCCAAGCAAAAATACATAATAAGAGTTACATTCCATTAACATAAGTCTTTGCAGGATCCTCAACAAGTCAACATCACTACAAATCATAAACAGTGGATAAAGAGTTACTTCTTACCTTCAGGTGCTTCTTCCTCTGCTTGCTCTGTCATTGTTTCATTTGTAACACCTTCAACTTCAACAACTCCATTAACAATATCATATCTCTGTAGTTGAAGACATAAAACCAGAATAAGTGCAGTTAACATTGATCAAATTCATATAACATGTACTGCAGTTCAGTCAAAGAAGAAATCAATCAATCAATTAAAGCCTTAATCCCATAAGTGGGGTCATTCCAAAAAGTTAAAGAAGAAATAGAGGGATATAAAAAATAAAAAAAATAAAAAAATAAAAAATAAAAATAAATAAAAAGTAGAGTTCCATGACTTCAGTTCAAACATACCTTTGTGTAAAGTGGTTCATAGAGCTTTTGATATTTTGCCTCAAGAGCAGCCCTTTCCTCGAAAAATTTAGACTCAAGCTCATCATGTTGGCCCTGTATGAAAATGGTATCAGGACATTTTGTATTGAACTTTCAACCCAATATGAACAAGCATAGCAGAGAACCACAATTCATGAAAGAAAAAACCCAGAGCCCGCATGCTAAAAGAGAAGGGTAATATGAATAATACAGATAGACACTCGAGCCTTATTGACAGCACAGAGGCCACGAGAGCCAATATTATGTTTATCATGCAAAATCCACATGTAAAACGCAAACATCAGTTTATTTTACTTGTATAAACCTCCTATTACTAACAAGTGGCAAATCAATTACAAAAGCTTAATTCCTAATATTCCTCTATAACTCATGGAGATAGGGGAAATTTTAAGGCCTTTAATATCTTGATAATTACACATATAAGATCGACTCAAACATTTTTTTTAAACATTCCCATTGATATATGCAAACCAAACATGGTGGTAATATTCCTCAAAAAAATATATGGTGGTGATAAACAAATAAAGGACAATACCATATACCCACACTCCCAAAATTCTTCCTATTCCCACAAAACAATTCACTCATAAAAAAGCCATAAATGACAACAAAAACTTGTATACAACCTAAACTGTGAAGAAAACCCAATTTAAAACATTTATAACACCCTAAAACATCCAAGCCCTTTTCCCTCCTAAAACAGATTTGGGGAGAAGTGTTATAGTCAAAGTGGTCCAATGCAGCAAGTATAATTACAAATCTCTCTCTACTACACTTTGCAGTTTCCAATCAGCAACATTAAACTCATATAGAAACAAAAGACAAGGCAGCAGCTAACATAACAACACCGAGTAAAAACGACATCAAAAATCAAAGTGACAACAAATACCAAAACTTTCAGTATATATACACAAATTATCCTAAACATAATAGTCCACACTCACATATTTCCCAATCTCTTCAATGTGTCAGCGATTAATAAGCAGTCAATATATTATAACTTGCAATGCCAAAATCGCAATTATTAGGATTACAACAAAGATAATCAAATGATATCATATTCAAACACATCCACCACATAAGACAAGTCAAAGATATGATTAAACCCTAAACATCATAAAATTGAGAATCAACTGGCAGATAATGCTTACAAAACCCTAAAATCAAATAATTATCACACAATTCTTCCACGGCTATACTCTTCTCCGGTTATTCGACAGCAAAATGAGCTTAAAAGTAACCTAATCACCGCTATGAATCAAAATGTGAATGTTCAATCAATAGAAAAACTTGCATTTTCAATAAATAATAACAATTTCTAAATAACAAATTATGTAAAAATAAAAAATTACACAAATGAGAAGAAGAAAAAAGGATGAAAAACCTGAATCTCTCGAAGAACTTCAACACGCTTGCGAACATTTGGTGTCAATGAATCAAGTATATCAAAATGTTCTCCTGCCAAATTCTGCAGCTTATTCTACATAAAACCCAACAAAAATTACAAAAAATCAAAACCCTAAAACCAAAAATTAATCACCCCCATTAAAAATAAACCCCATTTCATAATTACCAACAAATTCAATTCCAAAAAAATGGGATTAAAAAAAAACCATTGAAAACCCACCTTAAGCGCATTAACAAGACCAGCCCTATCCTCAGCGCTCAAAGCTAAAACCAACAACAAATTTCAAAAAAAGCGTCAAAATTGAAAAAAAAAAAAAATCGAAAAAAATGGGGAAAAAATCGAGAAAATTCAGGAGTAAAACCTGCAGCGGCGGCGGGGAGATTGACGGCAAGATCAGATAAGTTCATCTGATCATTGTTGGTGTTGTTGTTGTTGTTATTATCGCTCATTTTTGGCCCTGATTTTTTCAAAAGATGAAATTTTTAGCAGCGAAGAAAGAAAGATAGTGAAGGAAGGAAGGAAGGAAAGAAGGAGGGAGAGAGTCGGCGGTTTGTAATTCGCAACTTTCTCCGTTTATTTTTTGTTTATATTTTTTTTTCTTTTTAAAAAATGAAGCGAAATTCTCTCTCCTATTTTGTCTGGTTAAGTGTTGGTACTTAACCTAAACTGCACGACTTTTGTTTACGACTTTCCTGTTTTAATACTGCGCGCACGGTCGCACGCCACCGTTATTCTGTCCTTCAACTTGGGTTTTTTTTCAAAAATTGAATTTGATACTTGTATAGGGTTTTTGGAAATTGATTGATTTGATGGTTGATACTTTACTTTGATTCCAACCAAAATTATACATAATCAGATTCGTAACTGAGAAAAACGAATTTTTTTGAATTGGGTTCATTTATATTAGACTTGAATTTGGACGATAGTAGAAATTTTTCAGCAATATTCTATTTTCAAGTTAGGTTATGACTTCAATATCGTATTAGATTTTGGTAAAGTCATTTGAATTAGTTACTTTTAATACGAAGTTACGAAGGGAATGTGATGCGTTGAATGATATAATGTGTCAACAACTTAGGTAAGTTCCACTCTGATTTGATGATGTGTGCAAGTTGACTTCATTTTTAATATGTTTTGACGAACTTTATTTATATTGCAAGATGGGATAGTAACGGTAATTCTGTGTTAATTTTTATAAATTATTTCTAAAAAAGTATAAATAAATATAACTTTGATGGACCTTGATTTGCAATAAATATTATGCTTAGTGTTTCCTTTACAAAAATATACGGTTAATTGCTCACTTGTGTTGTTGAGTGTCCATGGCACATATTATTAATGAGGATGAGCAAAGCAAATGTGACATATGAGTGGCTCCCTACACAAACTCTTAAGGAAATAATGAAGCAAGTTAAATAGGATTACCCTAAATATTCTCACCTTATTACATATAGTAGGTGCATGTAAAATATTATACTCGAACATAAAATAAACACTAGAGCTTTGAGAAAGACTCTAACATCATTCGGATTAAACATAGTCTCCAACTCATCAGCACCATATATAACCGTTAATTGCATATTAAAGGTGGAAATTCTGCCCACAAAGTAGATATGCAAAGTGAAGGTTTATTAAGAGAGGGCTACTCATGTAGGGAAATATCAAGAGAGGGGAGGGCGAAGAAGGAATTAAATAATCGGTATGATTTGTTTTATTTGGTACACTGCATTCATGCAAAAGTGAGTCAGATTTCTACAGGATTAAACTTGTTGCTGCTTATACTGTAGTGTTGGATTTCAGAGCTTCAATGACAGCTGAGAAGTCCTGCTCGCTTAGGCCACGAGATTTGGCAATCTTGTAAAGCTCATTTGTAGCCGCTGCAATTGGTATTGGTTGAGAAACAGACTCTGCTAATCCAAGAGCAAGCCTTAAATCCTGCCACAAGTGTTGAAATTCAAGTAATATATTTTCAGCAAAGGAAGCTGATGAGTGGAGTTCTGGTAGGAAAAATGGTTTGAATGTTAACTGACCTTCTGCTGATGTTTTAAGGGAAATGCTGTAGGATATTGAGATTGGATCATTGATGGGCCCTTAAGTTTGTACATTGGTGCACTAATTGCACCTTGTGTGATTACCTGCAATCATCACATAATCAAAGATTTCGAAGAATATTATTACTGTCAACTGAGATTAGTTGCACAGAATTATAATAGTATAATGTCAAAATTTGTCCTAGAACATTTATGATCTATCCCACTTGGACTCCCCATACGCCCTTAACTTGGAATCTCACCAGTCATTAGGTGCAGGCTTTTTTACTTGAGCAAAAGTATGCACCCTACACTATTATGACATGAAAGGCAAAAGAAAGGCATGCGTTCCTTTACTAAGAAAAATGATAAAAGAAGAGTATCAATGAACACAAACATTTCAAAGCCGTCTTAAACTTCCTGGGTAGCACATACAACCATAAAAACAAAAACTGTTTAGGAGGTGCAAACATGTGCTAATATGCAACCTTGCTTCTTCTACTAAACAATCTCAGATTGTAGAGAAATTGAAGAACATATGTAATCGCAGAACACCACAGTAATACATATGCTGATATGCAACCTTGCTGGTTCTGAATTTGAATCTTGCGCTCTAAGCTCAGGTATAAATTGAATTCAAGCACAAAAGGCAAAATGATATAGGAAGCATTAACAAGAAAATTTTGGGAGATGGGTTGCACTGTGGGCTGTTGGCTGTTGGCTGTTGCACACCATAAATAACCAACATTCATATGAACATTGCTCCTTTATGGTGTAGTGTCGCAACACTAGGATATAAAAATCTCATTTCCAAAAGAGAATAAGGTGCGCCTGGTGCGGTACATGCTGAAATTTCAGAACAGAAAAGTATTTACTTTGTATACTCTAAATTTTAAAGTTTGTCATAAGTAGGATGTAGATTAAGATTAATAAGGGCTTATATGGAGAAGCCACAGAGCAAAACCACTACCTTCATCTCATACTAAACCATAAAAATAATAGACAATGTGAACAAATTAGCTATATACTTCTATGGATATACCTCAACAAGCACACTTGGATCCAGCCCAACTTTTTCACTAAGCAGCAGTCCTTCAGAAAACGATGCCATCATACTGTAAATTGCAGATGGCCATGAATGTAATATTAGTGAAGATATTATATGATTTCCCTTCAAAATGAATAAGCATGCAGGATTTAATAGTCCCAGTACCTTCCCATGATCATGTTCACAACAAGTTTCATTGTGGCTCCATTGCCAATATCTCCAAGATAGAATTTTGACTGAAATGATTCTGCAAGTTATATGAGGGGCATATAAATATAATAAGGGGAATCAATACCTAACCAAGATAATGTACCTTTCCCATGATGTCTAAGAGGGGAGTAACCTTTTCGTATAGAGACTGGTCACCTGTGAATTAGCAATTCCAAGAGTTGTTCAAACAGAAAGTAGGATGTAATAAGCTGAACCGAACAATTAAAAATGGGAATTTGACAAACTTTTACCAGGTAGAATAATACAATATATACAATTTGGGAAAGATGACACTAATTCTAGAGATAAGTGAGTTACCTGCTGTAAGAAAAATTAGTTGCCCATCCTCTGCTGGTTTTTTGGACCCAGAAACTGGAGCCTGTTACGAAGTGCATAAACTTGAGAATGTTTTAAATGTTAACTTAATACTCTGCATATGTTACAAGGATAAACCTTTCACCGCAGTTCCTTTGTTTATTCTTTATTTTATTTTATTTTATTTTTTTATTTTTTTTATTTTTTTTTTTTTTTTTTTTTTTTGGGGGGGGGGGGGGGTTCCTGATGACTGATTAAGTGATTATAGCATGCAGAGAAGAAATGAAAGTAATACCTCCAAGAATGATGCCCCAGTTGCTTTAATACGCTCACTTATAAGTTTAGATGTTCCGTCATCAACTGTTGAGATGTCTACATACCTTCATATCTCATTTTAACAAAAGTTACACACAGTAATCAGAACTTACACATAGACAATTTTATTAGAAGTATGAATTATTATCTTTTCCCTCCACCGTTACAGAAACCCTCATGTCACCTAAACTACACAATAAGGAATGCAAACATATGTAAAGTCTATTTCAAAGGATCTGCTCATAAGCTAGTTGTTCTGCTCCAAAAAAAATATACGGAGTACTATACTTGATATTTATTGTTTAAAAACTGTTGAATTAGGAAACATACCAGCAATCGATTCGCTGGTTCACTAAGAACCATATTCATTAAGTGATAAATAAAAGCACCACACACCAAAACTGGTTAAATGTTAATAGATTCATTACAAATTGGTGCTGAAGTTGCAAAAGGTTGAGCTCGCTATATAATAGCAAAAGTTAAAATTTAGACCGTCAAAGACTCACGAGAGAATTGAATAAAGCATCCAATTTAATGAAAACACTTCCACTAGACCACTGCATCTTGACTTCTAGCCTTAGAGTCAAAGCCTGGGTGTAGAAGTGCAAGTATAAGAAGGGGGAGGGGGACAACTACCATCTTACTCTTGTAAAACAGTAGATGAAATAGCATTGAACTATATAACTAAATATCTGGCATTACTGAAGAACTTCGTACCCTTTGCCTGGACCCATGCCATTTGCAGCTCCATTCTTCCCACATGCAACATCCATCTAATGCAAAAGGCTTAGATATTGATATCAAGGCGGAAAAACAAAAAACCAAGCAAGAGAACACAAAAGAAACATACGCACTGCACTATCAGGATCAGCAAGCATGGCAAATGTCACATCACAAGACGCAGCTACTTCTTCTGGAGAGGGTTTATACCTGTACCAGTGACAAATTTATTACATGAACATTTCAAGGAAGTTAACTGCTACATGAAACTTATATCAACTAGACAACTAGACCTATGTTCTGCCAGTTTGAAGATTACTTGTATAAGCATGAGGAATAATTAAGTTATAATATATGCACACAGCAACTTACGTAGCACCAAGGCTGATGAGAGGATCACATTTGCTCTTTGTCCTATTCCAGACAGTCACATCACATCTACACCATGAAGATCAAAATGTCATAACAGTAGGAAGATAGCAGCACTGAGTAGTACATTACAAGTATCCAGCACTAAAAACATATCGAAAATCCAGCAGATCACTCATGGAAGACGAATGCAGATATTATTTTTTATTTCAATCAGCAAAAACGAAGTACTACATACTTAAACATAAAATCCATCATGTCCATCTATAAACTCGAGCTCTGTGACAAAATACTTCATTTTACCCTGACAATTAATATAGAAAAAGCTCATACAATTCTCACCCGGCCTTAATGAGATTTTGGGCCATTGGAGAACCCATGATTCCCAGACCAAGAAACCCAACACGACCTGAAAATTCATCTGCAATAATACACATTGATATTCAGAATTGGCTAAAATTTATAACATCATTATTCATCAACATAAATGAAAACAATCTACAGTGAAATTACTCAGAACCGTCACATGAACATTCCCCATTGTTTCGAAAAATTCCAATTCATTTCAAAATATTCAGAAAGAATTGTCCAATTTCCAATTAATGAACACAGTTCCTTATTTTTCTGATTTCATTTTATCATCAATTCATCATGGCATTTGCTCAACTTTGTTGTATACGTCATAATATATATGATAATTATGAATTTATGTGATTAAACCCAGCAAATTCTTGTAAGTTCTATGTTTAATGACACTATCAATTAATTATTTCAGACCACAATCAAAATTATAATTTCAACCTCAGCTAACCATTACAATACATCACAACCAATTTAAAAAATAATTGACATAGGAAAGCATACAAAAAACCTAGCACAGAAAAGCTGATAAAATCAAAACTTTAGAAAAGAATCAATAGAAAAGGTAGTACCTTTGGCAAAAGCATTGATAATCCGAGAAGAAGATTGCCTGGAAGAGAGAGAAAAAAGAGGTTTAGAGAAGAGAGGAGAAGTGGGTTTAGGCCTAAATTGAGGGCAAAATGCGGAGGCAGAGTTAAATGCAATAGCCATTGAAGTTGTGGTTGAAGGGCAAATGGAAATGGCAGTTTTAGAAATGAGAGTAGTCATCGCCATGGCCATACTTTTTAAGGTGATTTTGTGGAGTGTACAACTGCTACTGCTATTACTGGATAGCTTTTTCTTTTATAACCAACTTTCTCTCCCACACCCCTTGTGAAAATAATAAGAAATTTGACATGGATTAAGTTTTTAAGTGCATTTGTTAAGTTCTAATTTTCTAAACCTAGCTTGATCATGTTTCTTTTTTGGAAGGACGGAGAGTTAAGATGGTTGTAAGGTGTGCCTCTTGAATCGCGGTGAGGTTGCAACTTTGAATGAAGTGAGCTTAAATAGATACGTGTGATGAGCACACAAGCTACGTGTTGTGTCAAAATTATTTTAGGTGCAGCTCACACATGGTCAAAGCACATGTCTACCGAGGCGTGTTATGAATGCATTACTCCAGATGAGTAAGTGTTATATTTTGTGTCTTGTCATGCTTTGTAAAAATAAAGTTCAAGTATAGCTAATGTTCCACCACATCTAGATGGCACAAGCCGCATAGTAATGTACCATGGTTATATCCAAGTCGTGCTATGTTTTATACCGTATATTGTGTAAGGTTATGATGTGCCACAAGCCGACTTAAACAAGTGTCATTATCTAAGAATGAATATTTTTTTATTATTGAAATTAGTAATCAATTATTTAGACTTTTCATAATGAGCTAATATAATCCATCAACACTTAATATAAGTACTCTGTAGCGTTTTCCTTAAAAAACTTATACATGAAAATAATAAAGTAGTGTTATTCTAGAACTTCAAACTGCTCATTTGCTCAACCACATACAAACAAGCTTAGAAGTGAACACTGGCCTCAAAGATTTGAAAACAGAACATAGGACTGTATCAATAGTAACTTCTTGCCAAAAAGAGGAGAAGAAGAAGAAAATGAGATAAAGGAGCATACTAAATACAGCCAGAGCCACTTTATACAATTAGATAATGAGCATTAAGGGGGTTAAAAAAAAAAGTACAAAGAACAAGATAAATCAATCAACAAAATAGTAGAGCTGGTAAAATCCACCACTACAAAAGTAGATATAAAGGAATGACAAGCAAAAATGTCATTAGAGTTTAAAAATAGCATGACTTTAGTCAATGCATAAACACAACTAATCATTGATTGGCGGGGAAAGAGAGGTCGCCCAAGCAATTAAAGACCAAGAGTCCAAGATCAAAATACCATATCCAGCAATAGACATGCTCTAAATAAATAAACAGTCCAGCAATTAGTCACTTTCTGTAACCAAAGTACGGCTACAACGAGCTACAAAAATAAAATAAAAAAATTAAAAAAAAAAATGATAATTCGAGCTCAGTACCACTCATGTTCCAGAGTAGACACTGGTGTTAGCAAGTTTAGATCAGCAATCAATCAAGGCAAAGCTCGCGCAAGATAACCAGATAATGTTTGCTTGATTTCTAGAGGGCCATCAGGAAGCACTATTTTGCTGGGATATTGACGTCCATTTGTAAACATGTACTCTTCATGAACACTCTCATCTCTTCCATATATATATAAGCCAGTGAGGACGATGTCAGCCAATAAAAGAGAGCATTCCACATCAATGCAAATGGTGACAGTTGGAGATCCAAACAATGCTTAGCGGAGTATATAAAAATGACATGTGGGACTGAAGAAAGTATTAACAGGCTAACAGCACATTTGGTAGCCAGTTATAAAAAGCAGTAATGGAAATGAAATAGTGTAATTTGACAATGAAATATATTTACATAGAAATGCAACTGTATCCCCAAACATGTGTTTCTCCTCATTATTGTTCAATTCCACTCAATACCATCCCAAATGGATGGATAGTAATGACAATTTGTGAAGAAATTTACATAATTTGGGGTGAACTAGCATTACCATGAGAATGGACATTGAAATTTTTCTTACAAATTACTCCGTAATATACAAATTTAATCTCATTACCACCATTTATTACCACTTACCAAAGAAGCTGTGACATTATTAAAACTTACTGTCAAGCTGAATCCTTCTGGAGAAGTATCAAAACATGAGTTATCAGAGTCAAAAACACGATTTAAGTTGCCTGGTGTCTTACGAAACTTTTCAGTAGCTAAGTTCTCTAATACATCATCTCTTACAGAATGTTGCCCTTCATCTGATGTTTTTGGCCGTGGCAATACTACGATTCCAGCCTCGGAAACTGAAACCAAACAACCAACATTTAAAAGAGAATCAGAGCAATTAGGCTTTTGCACACAAACAGTGTTTTCAAATTAACAGCCACACAATGCAGATAATAACAGCATCAGATTGCCCAGATGCAACAGCTTCTGGATCAATGCCATCGCACAAGCTTCAGCAGAGGCAAATTGGTGGGAATCATCCTTTTTTCCTGCCTCTTCGCTTCTTGAAGTACTTGGACCTTCTTCAGTGTTATTAAATTCTCTAAACTCACAGAGATTTCCAATGGAAAGACCATTGGGTTTCTCATCAGCCCAAGTTACAGAACGTGCAAGTTTCTTTATCCCAGAAGTTCTAAGAGCATATTTTCTTTTGGATAAACTAGAGTTAACAACTTTCCACAATGATATTCATCTTTTACATGCGTGCTACATGAAGTAGAACCATTCTGATCTTGCAAAAAATAAACTTCAGCTATGCTTGCATTCTGATCCAAATTATTTCCATCATCAACTAAAGCTGAATCCATGCCTTCTTCATACCAATAAAACAGTCACACTCCTTATTTTGTACTGAATAATGTAGAGAGTATGAAAATTGTCCGGTGCACATAACAAAATAGAGCAGCAGCAAGATGACCTTGAATAGTTAAATAATGTCCTGTGTAGAAGGGCTGGACTCTTCTACCATTGAAATATCATTTATATGCTTCCCATTCCCGACTTATCTCTATTATATCTGTACAATAAATATTATGCTCGATCAATATCAAGGAAGTATATACATAAGCTTAACAACCAATCTTCTATAATGCGTGCCGACTATAGACTGAATGTTTCAGGCTGCCTTTGCCCGTATGTGGCACAGCCTACTGCCAATAAAGCATTTATATCAGTAAATAGTAAAGAGTTCAAATTGCGCCAATATGTATCATTCATTAAAATCTTTATCTTGAGTGGAAAGTCATTAAGATAGGAAATTTTGCATACATTATCTGTTCAACTATCCCCAGGATTTTGTACAGCTACATAAAAAAGGAATAATATCATCTTCACAACCATAACTCCATCATCCTGCTAGTAAAGAAAAGCATCAACTGCAGCTAATGATACTATGACTCAGATCATTAGGCACCCAACTTGCATATATAATAGTTGTCACAAAAGAAACATATTTGTCACTATGCTGCAAAAATAGAATTTTTATATGAGGGAATATATGACAGAACTAACGATTGGACCTAGACAAAAAAAAAAAAAATTAAGCCAAATAATTAGGCCAGCTTTAGTTGTAATATAAAGGGATAGTCAATAGTCATAGCCTCATAGGAGTAATGCCTAGATACAGTTTGCATAAAAATAAGATTCACAAATAGCATAAACACAACAGATGCAAGATAGTAAATAAGCAAAACAATTGACAATATGAAGTAAAAAAAGCCTACTTTTTGTTGTTCCCTGCAGCATTTTCTTCCTTCCCTAGCGCAATAACTACTTACTTTAAAATTGCTTCAGTTGGCTGGTGGGCATCCTCAACTGCCTTTGAAATTGCTTGCCATTTCTCACCATGCTTGGGCTCTGCAGTGACACAACGTTTCAGCACTTCCTTCTGAATGTCCTCGTTTCCATGCTGAAGTTCAAATTTGTAGTACAAAGCCCAGAAATCCCCAATATCTGGAGCAAGTGTCACTGCTCTATTAAGCTGATCCCTTGCCTTGTCTACCTTCCTGTCATGCCAAAATAGTTTTGCAACTGCAGCTATGACATGGGGATCCTGGTCACATTTTGTAATTGCATCTGAGCTCTTCGATTTTCGTTGAGGATGGGGAACATTCTCAATTTGAGCCGCCCATAAGATACCACTGTTAGGACATTCTTGGAGGGCCTTAGCCAACAAGTTATCACCCTCCTTTTTGTTGCCATGCCACAATTCAGCTCTAACAGCAGCAAGCCACAATTCAGGACTCCGAGGATTCTTTTTCCTAGCCATAGTAAAAACAGCTCTAGCTTTACTCAACCCAATCATCTTCTCTTCTATATTTGCAAGTGAAAGCCACAAAGAAATGCAATGTGGGCAGTTTTTAAGACCAGATTCATAAACTTTTTTAGCCTTTGCTTGCTCTCCAGACCGCTCATGAATCTGACCAAGCATCAACCACAACTTGAAGAATGATGGGAACCGCTGCAGACCTTCGTCAAGAAGTTTCTTCTCCTCCGAAACATTACCAAGTTCTCTCTCAACAATAGCTGATTTCATCCAATCTCTTTCCGTGCCTCCTTTTTCTCGAGCCTTAGCAAGTAGCATTTTTGCCCTTTCAGGTTCATGGTTTTCAAATTCAAGCTTAAAAGCAGCAAGCCTAATCTCTTCAGAATTTGGAATAGCAGCATAAGCTTCCTGAAGAATGGCTCGAGCAGCAGGCACATCACCAGCAAGCCATTTCTCTTTTGCACCCATAAGCCAGAGAACTTCGGCCTGGGGCACATATGTGACTGCCCTCCGCAACAAGGCATCAAGAGATTCCCTTGTTCCATGACTCTTCTCCAATTGTGCTGCTTTAAGCCATATACTCTTCTTTGTCAAAAAGACAGACAGAGCATGAGAATATATAGCCCTTGCAGTTTCAACATACCCTCTCTTCTTGCACTCTTCAGCATCAGCCACCCATGTTCTCTTCCTATCTTCTTCCTCTACCCTGACACCGACAGTGTGCTTAATAATAGCTAGGCAAGTAACTACAGACCCAGCACGCTCGGAGGCCTCTGCTTCTCTCATCCAAGCTTCTCTATCAACAACAACTCCATCTCTTTGTAGGGCCCTGATACCCCTCTCTATGATCTTCTCAACCATCGCAGTATTTCCATTAGCTTCTTCCAACTTTGCAGCAGTAATCCAGATAGCTGGTTCCTTTGGGAGCTTTTCTCTGGCCCTGTTAAGCACTTTCTTTGCCCTCTCATATGTTTCCAGCCTAGCAAGAGCAAGCCACAATTCAACATGCAAAGGACAGCTCTTTACAGCCTTCTGAAGAAATAGCTTAGCCTCATCCTCATTAGCAAGCTCAACAACTGCCTTCCAAAGTCTCACTGACTTTGGAATATGTTGAAGCCCCTTTGTCAGCACCCTGATCTTACTTATATCATCTTGCTCCAATTTAGCAGCCTGAAGCCACAACTTCACAGAATTAGTAATTGCTTTAACTCCCCTAGCTATCACAGCCTTGGCTTCATCAGGGCTCACCAAACGACATGCCTCAAGCCACACATCCTCGTTCTTGGGACACTCCTCACAACCCTTCTTGATAAACTGTCTAGCAGTCTGGATCTTGCCAGCAACCTCCTCTAGCCTTGCAGCTGCAATCCAACCAGGAGGGTGCTTTGGATTGGTTTGTATAATAGATTTCAACAGCAACCTAGCCTTCTTAATATCTGAAATTTCTGCATCACTTGTAATCTTCATACTTTTAAGATCAGTTAAATAACCTTTCGGGTCAACAACAGTCTGCCCTGTAACAGAATCAGATAACCTATCAAGCTTTAGTGACAACACAGTACCCCTCCCCTCACCAACAGCAGTTAAATCAGTAACACGAGTCTGTCCCCAAGGCGTCTCCGTTCCACCAGCAGGTCTACTCTTTGGATCAAGGGCTGTAACATGCTTTTGCTCCTGTCTAGCCTTCTCAAGAAGAGTATCAGGCACAGGCACAAAACTCTCAAACCTCCTCTTCTTATTCCTCAAAGAATAATCTCCAATCTCCGGGAGACTATCCCACTCCTCTGCAGACAAATTATGCAGCTTCCTTTTCAAGTCTCCAAACTGCTCAGTAATTTTGGGATTTAATGCATTATAGTTTTCAATCTCCTCCTTCAGCCTAGCCTCCCTCCTATCCTTCCTCCTCGAGTCCATTCTCTTATCAATCTCCTCCCACACAGCATCCGCCTCCTTATCATCCTCATCATACTCTGCCAGCGCTAACAATCCAACATCATTCCCTTCAAACTCATCAAACTTTTGATTCTCATCATACCCTTTTCCCTCTCCTTCCTCCTCTTCCTCCTCCTCGCCAGCACCCTTCCCCAGCCCACGGCCCATAGTAGGGATCGCAGCACTACCAATCATAGTAGCGGAACGGTCAGGCAAGTCCGGGGCTGCTCGGGCAGGCCCAATTTCAGACCGGGTCGTAAACCCGGTAGCCCCACGACCCAACCCGGCAACATAATTCGGTGGGGGCTTTGCATTCAAGAATTCAAGCTTCCCCTTTGACTGCACAGGAGGTTGCATACCACCATAAAAAGGGATATACAGCATTAAAGTCGAATTCGATCGAATTCCCAAATCAGCAATTACACAATCAACATTACCAATTACCCTTTTCGATGATGATAATAAAAATTGGTTTTCACTAGGAATTCCTAATTTATCAGTAATAGTATCATGAAGATTGCCTAAGGTTGTTAATTTAGGGTTCATATCAAGAACTAGGATATTCCTATCAAATGTTATGAGATTAACCATTTTTTAGTGAAAATTACAAGTAATTATCAATGGAAAATTAGGGATTTTGCGAACAATCAAAGAAAACAGAGGGAGAAGGAATTACCTGTAGAAGAAGGAAGTTGAAAGAGCTTCAAAGGAGTTGCACTGCGATTAGGGAATTAGGAGGGAGAATAGTCGGATTTTATGTTAACTAACTCTAAATCAATTTTTTTTTTTGACAAAATAAAAAGGCTAAACCCACTTATATAGGCTAATCTAAAAACCCCACATCAATTTAGGAATTAGGATATTTTAATTGCTGTCAAAGTAGAAATAATCTTATTTCCTAAAATTTATCTAGTTTCCTAATTAGGCCCTGTTTGATTCACCTTAAAAAAAAATATTAAGTAAAAATAATTTCAGTTCAGTAAAAATAAGTTCAGTTCAGTAAAATTAATTTCAATTCAGTAAAAATAAGTTCAGTTCAGTAAAATTCAGTTTTCCTAAAGAAGAATTATAATAGAAAATCAGTAAAAATAATTTCAGTTCAGTAAAAATAATTTAAGTTCAGTAAAAATAATTTCAGTTCAGTAAAATTAAGTTCAGTTCAGTAAAAATAAGTTCAGTTCAGTAAAAATAATTTCAGTTCAGCAAAATTAAGGTGAATCAAACAGGGGCTTACAATCCTCATCAAACTAGAAAAGCATAATTGATTATGTTTTCTTTCTTTCAAAAACCACATTGAAATTATGAAATCCTGAAACAATAAGGGGAAAGAGAAAGAAGAAGAAGATGGGTGGGGTTTGAGCAAGGGCATATGTGTCCATTCAACATATATGTTGGCAGTTTTGATAAATATTATTAGTGGTAGTTAACACCCTCTATATTTTCTTTCTTTAAAAAAATACAATATACGAAGTATTTTCTAATTTCCATGTTGGGTGATATTAAATTACTAAAAAATTATAAAATTATTATTGCTAATTCTTTTTAGAAATCTTTTTTTACTATAAAATTCTTTTCCAAATGTTCAAAGTTCATTCATGATAAGTTGATTATGTGCAATTTATTTGAAAACGATTTTGAACCAGCTGCCTAACACATGTAGTAATATATTATGTACTTGGCATTTTGAACATATTCATTAAGAATTTAAGAAAGCCTGAATTCTCACAAGATGAATATAACACAGGAATCAATTCATACTACCACCTTAATAAATCGAAGTGAAGGTAAACAAACACTACACATTTAATACATTCATACATTTATATACAACTAGGGTATCATAGCTAAGGGTCTGTTCTCATTGACTGAACTCAACTGAACTGAATTGAACTGAACTGAACTGAGCTAAGCTGAACTGAGCTAAGCTGAACTGAACTGAATTGAGTTGAGCTAAGCTGAACTGAACTGAATATTTTATAAGAGAAGGAAATTAGGAGCTGAACTGAACTTTTCAATGTAAGAGAACAGGCCCTAAGTTATTTCTTATTTGGCTATCACCAATTTAGGGAATACGTAGTTAGGTTATACTCCGCATAAGTGTTTCTAAAATGGATACATAGATGAGAAGTTTTGCTTTTGTATAATGATGTTGTAAGACGTTATAGAAAATAAGTTAAAAAAAACCCGGGAATCAATTGTGATGAGATAAAGCTATTGTATATTCAAAGAATATGTATAATGAGGCAAATGTAAAGAATTATGATGGATTAATATTCAATATGATCACATTTATTATGTTTTCCGTGTTAGAATTTGACATTGTAATTTCAATATAAGAGTCTTACCACAATGTGTGAGTGGGGAATAATTAATATTTATGCAATAAAGAGTCGTGAAAATTGTGATTAGGCTTTTAGTTTTTATGTGTAGGATGATCACAAAAGAATTATAAACTCAACTACGGAGTATTTTTTTTTTTTTTTTGTTTTTATGTGTAGCATGTTTTATTGCATTTCTCAATGTTTTGTGAAAAGTATTGAGAGTAATTTAGAAGATATATTCATCCCCGATTTAGGTAAACATACAAACAATCTCAATTTTGCGAAAATTAAAGTATTAGTAAAAAGCGCTTTTAACCCATGTTTATTATGAGTTAATTGAAATGTATGAATATTACAATTTTTTTGCTGAATAATTACTCCGTAGTTTTTAAGACTTTTCTCTGACTTACATAAACGGGTTGATCTTGTGATGTTTTATAAAAGAGTTCTTAGGGCATTTACCAGTAGAGTAAATTCAATTATAACCGTATTGGTTGCTAAATAGTAAATACGGAGTCCCCCCCCCCTAAGAATAGCTATTGTGGACATGTAAGCCTGAAATAATGACAATTCCACAAAAAAAATCTTGAAATATTACACAAGACAAAGGAATTATAACACTTTAACCAAAATTGGGATAAATATATAAAAACTCAGAACAGAGGATAAACCCCTGATTTTAACAATATAGCGTTGAATACGTAGTAATTAAATAAACCCGGTAAGGAATTGTCAAAATAAACTAAGGAAAAAAATCCCAAAAAAGCTTGAAGTTTGCAAACTGGATGAGATCTTGGTGAGCAATAAGGCCAACAAAAGGTAGGCTGCACCTTTGGGTGCTAAAACTTCCGATGATATGATAACGATCAAATTCTCCTTTGCCACAGCATATTTAAGGCCGTCAGTTGCAATGTAAATCAGTCACTTTCGGTTTTATTCACAGAAAGCTCACTTAATTGTCTTACGAGATCGGGTAAGTGGCTGAGATTAGGGCATCCCTTTACCATCAAGAAGTCCTCCAAACGAATTTATGCTCGATAAGCAGAAATCAATGGCTTTCATACCCTGATTAAATCCAATTCTGCCAAGTTCCATTAACAATTACAGTAGTCAGTAATCAACATTTCAGAAGCTCGTACCTTAATTTTATAAAATCCCAAATATATCTATGATCGTAACATTTATGAATTAAATCATCATCAAGTTGGAAAAATAAGCAAAATTTTAGCAAGACAGTATAAAAATACTGAAATGTTACACTACATGATAGTTATTTTTTTTTTTTTTTTTTTTGAGAGACTACATGATAGTTAATTCAATACCCATATAATTGACCAATTTTTTTCACTACAAAAATCAGTTGCGTAATAATGCAGCTGTTGATTAATTATATGATTACTCTACTCCAATAATAAAACTAAGAAGAGCCAAAAAATAATGGACACAAGTACACAGCAAAGGACACATCATTAAAGTAAAAATCCCACTCAAACTACCCAATTAATATCATGTATTATCAATACAAACAACCAAAATCACTTAATTGAAGTTCAAACTTAAGTATCAAAAGTCTAGCTCAATTAGCTCATATGATCCCATAATCAGAATTGAGCTATCAACATAAATTACTACAGTATCACTCCTCAAAAACACTGATTAATCTTGATATCAGAAATCATATAATCACTCTTACATCAAGTATCAACAAATACATCATCAAAATGAATAATGTAACGCGTGTGCCGGGGGGGGGGGGGAAGGAAGGAAGAGCGGCGTATATCTGAAAAGTATTGAGACTCTATTCGGAGTGGTTGATCCAATATAAGTTTTGACAAACTAAGATCTGAAGCTAAGTTTTAAAGAAGTTGGACAGAAATTTGTAAACATGAAAAAATTTACAAGTTGTAGCTCATAACAGTTTTCAGGTCAAAAAATGCAAAAACGAGCATGGGCTACATTATTGACCAAAGAGTTGTAATGGGCATCAATGGAAGGTTTAGTTACAAGTACATCCATGAGGCCATGACCGTTTCATATCAAGTAATATTTACACATACATCATAAAATCTAGTTCTCTTTCCAATTCTACTGCAACTTTCCTAGCTTTATTAAGTATGGTAACTTCATGAGTCATGACCACTAATTCAATTAAACAGCTCAGGAAAGCAAATCATATAGAGGATATAATTTGATTATTTCCTAGATATGCCTATTACATGAAAATAATAGACTTGTGTCAAAAAAAAAAAAAAAAAAAAAAAAAAAAAAAAAAAAAAAAAAAACTGTCAAAATGGAGGTTAGTATTGGATGACACTTGACAGCACATTATCTAATACTCGTGCAAACCAGAAGTACGGATTATCACTACTAATTCGATCATCAATTCCAAACTCATCAGAGAATTCCAAAGGTTTCAATTAGCAAGGATGTAAGAGTGAGGAGGTGCCGGCAGGCTCAGGGTTTAAATTAACCATTGATTCTTATAGGGTTGTACCCACATCATGCAAATGATACTTCTAGGAACTGTCAATGAATCAGAACAAGATTGAATGAATATTTCTCAGAAAGCTAATTCAACTAATATATGAACTTGTTAATTGATGATTAATAGTGTCTGATTACACATATGCCAACATAACAATATATCGTGTACTCCCCTTCCTACTTTAAAGAAATTTCCACTTTACAAGTTCAATTGGTTCGCCATGGAAAAAAGAAAAGAAAAGAAAAAGTATTGATCCAATAAAACTACTGCACTGCATTAGACCACTGCATACCTAACTTCCTTTGGATTTGTAAATTTGAAAAACAGAATGCATTTATTCTATTTGAACATAATGTAAGCCAAAGAGATATAAGAACATCCACTAATTAAATTAAGCTACCAAATCTGAGAATTCATTTGTAATGTCATAAACTTTCTTATTTAACTTATGTAGAAATTAATATTGAAGTCGTTTATGGGGATCTAATCCAAATCTTCCTTTACAATGTACTCCGTGTATCAAAGAAGTACGAGGAAATAAGACAAACTACATGTGATCAGCGCTTGCTAGTTGGTACCGGGATTAAAACCCTGATGCTATCCTACTAACAACATAGCAAACTACTAACATCAAGTCCTAAAGTTCTAGACCAATAAGAGGAGACACATGCTGCAAAGAGCCTAGTGTCTAAAATACAAAATATTCATGTAGGCTCTATTTTCCTCGACTTATATATACAAATTTCAGCAAAAATTCTCTCATATTGTAATTATAAGTTCAATCCCTTTTTTTAATACATCATACTCCCACCATCTCATATTACTTGCCCTACATTCCTATTTGGATGACTCAAATTAGTTGATCCATTCCTCTAATGGAAAGTTAATCTTCTCTACCGTTTTTTCCTTAATATCGGTCCCATATAGACTCATTCACTTTGAACTTTCTACTTTTTCTCCCTAAAATTATTGTGCCATCTTCTCATGGAGCAAATATATTAAGACAATGAAAGACAAGGAATAATATTTTTCCCTTTTTTTAGGTGCAGCACACTTGGCCCATCCTATAAAAGTCTCCAACTAAGATTCAAGACTCATAAAAGAAAATGTGAGCCTAGGTCACCACGAACCACAAGAAATTGCCAAAAAAAAAATGCAAATCCGGTAACATTTGACGCAAATATAATATAACCAATAATACAACAACTATTAACTGTCCATGAAATAAATGTCTATACATGGATAAATATAAACATGCAAAAACTTCATAATGTAACTAACAATTACACAGTAAGATGGAGTATTATTTTCTATTCTCTTGTTCTTTTTTTTTATTTGCAAGTTTTAAGGGGGATCTTGTTACCAATGGAGAATCAGGCTATTGTTATGTACTAATGAGAAAATTCAATGACTCCAATGAAGTTATCATCTTTTCAGCAACAATACTAAGCTAAATTAATACATAAAAAGCTACAGCACAGAATAAAGAAATTTTTTGAAAAGAAGGCGTTCTGTTAATTACCTCTGATGCAGCCGAGTCAGCACTAAATGGGGAACACACAGCATATGCTTTGGGACTAAACCTCCTACGAAGCAGCTCATAAGAAAATCAAAGGCAAATTACAGGGGTAATTTGGGCATGACACTGTTCATAAGAAATCAAGGGCTTTGAGCAAGTTCTTTATTTGGGTTCCACGACTTTTATAGGTTAGGGATGTGCAGCAAAAACACTTGGCAGCTAAACTATACATACAAGGGTCATTAATCTTCTAGTTCATCTTCAATAAATTCTTCCTCTTCATCCTCATCCATTTCATCATTTCCATCTTCTTCCACTGTATCATCATCATCAGTTACAATAAAGCCTCCTAAGGTCTCATCCTCATCGTCTTCAGATTCTTCCTCCTCTTCCCTTGTGCTTGTGTTGGTGGAAGATTTCCTGTTTGTTGTACCTTTTTTCCGTACGCCATGGTCTTTTGATCGAGTATCATACTTTGGTCTTTGAACCTTACCTGCATTTGTGGTTAGTTCCTCGCCTTCACTCTCAGCAGTCCACTCCTCTTCTACATCATCATCTTCTCCTCTATTAGTTTTCTTCCTCTTCCTCCCACTTGTAAATCCTTTCATCTCAGAATCCTCCTCATCATCAGAATTTCTCTTAGGATCGTCAAGGAACCAGTCCCATTTCTTGATATCACGAATCATGTGTTTCGGATACTGATCAAACTCGTGTCCAATTACAACAAAACCAAACTCTGCAGTGACGCAAGGAAGAACAGTTGTTACCATGACTATTACTTCATATTCATACAGATCACACTGTCACATAACAGATAATCACCATGAAATGCATCCCAGAAATTCGCAACTAAGTTTACCAATCAAGCACAATTTAAACAGACATATAAAGCTAATGCATTTTTATTTCCAATCAGAGCTCTCAAAACACTAGCATTCTCAGTGATTTAGCTCATTATCCATTATCCTCGCGAAGACAGCAATGAAACCATCAGCTACATCACAAATCTTTCAAAAACTAAACTCTCTAACTTTGCAAATTGCAATAACAAATTCACTAAACCGCTTAAACCTGCTCAGCAAAAGATTAAGCAATCAAGCCATAAACACACCTACACTATCTAAAACCACAAACCCATAATTACTTAATTAGCACTCACAAATCAGAAATCACAATCAAATTACATACAGTAAAGTAAATGGGTATAAATTAATGCTGAAAATACATAAATAAATACTGCAAATTATATTTATGTAAAATAAAATTAAAGAAATTGAACAAACCTTGAATTGGATCAATGTTAGAAAGATCAACAAAATCCAGCCCAATGTCCTCAATTTCTTCAAACCCAGAAGCAGTTTCCAAATTTTCCCTCAAATCAGCATTAATTCTTCCCTTAACTTCCTCACAATGCTTTTCTCTCTCTTCAAAAACATTTGCAATATTCTTGAGAGTAAACCAAATAGGGGTTTTAGCAGAAACACAGAACAAATCATCAATACCCAAATCACCCCTTTGAAATCTCTTAAAACCTTTAACATTTCCATTTTCCTGCTGTTTTTTGTGAACCCAAATTGGGTTTTTTCCAAGGACTTCAAATGAAACCCTAGGAGCTGTTTGGGGATCTTCTGAGGGATTAAAATCGAACGAAACTTGACGACGAGAAACTGTTAAGTCGTTTGAGTAAAACCCATTTCCTCTTCCAAAAATGGTGGTTGAATTTGGTTTTAGTTTGAATTTTGAACCATCTGAACCTTCAATTTCCATGGTTTTGGTATATATTTGTCTTTCTGCTTTGAGTAGAAGATGGCTTTTTCTGGAGGGAATTTTTTTTTTTTTTTTTTTTTTTTTTTTTTTTTTTTTTAATCTTTCTGCCAAACGACGTGCTAACGTGCTATATTGTTTTGGCTACGAGTAGTAGTGCCATCGTGTATTTCGTGTATTCATGTTCTAGCAACTTAACTTTGGGCTAAGTTTTGTGGGTACCTTACATAGAAGCCCATGGGTTGGCTTTTGACACTTAGATAGTAGTACTAGGTCTAAGACCAGACCGGACCGACCCAGATTGAACCGAAAACCGAAAATTATAATTTTAAGAACCGAACACCGGACCGATTAAGCTTGGACCGAAACCAGACCAGACCGAAAGAATCGGTCCAAAACCCGTACCGGACCGCTTTGGACTGATTTAAGAATTTTTTTTAAAAAAATACTAAATTTTTAATAAAGTTATGGAAAACAAGAAAAAAGTAAAGGAATAACTATATTTTACGTCTTTTTTGTGTGTTTAGTAAACAAAACTTATAAAATTAAGGAAAATTGATTTTTGCTACCTATCAAACACATCAAATTGAATTTTGCTACCTATCAAAACTTTAATTTTATTTTACTACTTAACATATGCCCTCTGTTTAAAAATTGCTACCACTAGCTAACTTCTGTTACTGTTGACGTTAAGGGGGCCCACTCCAACGGCTATTTCCCCTTCCCCTTCTATTTAGTTGAATTGTACCAACCTAATTGCTCCAAACTTCATTATCTTCACAGCGATTTGTTGAGGGATTAATAATTAAATTCTGAAGCAAATTTTTTTTTAAAGATTAAATTGGTGAGGGCTGTTGATCAGTAGTGGTTGTTGTGCTCTGAAATTTAAGGTTAGTAGCTTAAATTTTTGCAATTAATTAGTTTATGCGACACTTAGGGGAAGTTTGAATTGCGATTTATTTTAAAATTTGTGCCTGTGAATTGTTTTTGTTAGTGTTGGGAATGATAGTAAAGCTTAATTTGATTTGGAAATGGTTTAATTGGTTGTTAATTGCATTTATGTTTCTGGGAATTAATTAGGGTTCATGTATTTTGAAATTAGGGGTTTTTAATTGTGAGTTGAATGGTTAAAATTGATGTTTTATTTTCATTCAAAACCTATGTATGACTGTAATTATTGATATACCTGGCGTAATTGCAGGCTATAATGGCAATGGTTAGGTTCTCTCCATCAAAACAGAGGAAATGTGATTGTGGAATCCCTATGGGCAAGCTGACATCATGGACAAGAGAGAATCCTGGTAGGAAGTTTAAAGCTTGCACATTTTATGATCCTAAGATTGAAACAAGGGGATGCAAGTGCTTTGAGTGGGTTGATGAGGAAGATGGAACTGAGTGGCAACGCGACGTAATCAATCAACTCCTTTTGGACAAAAAACTAATGAAGGGAGAGATCAACATACTGCAATCAGAACTTGAAAATTTAAAATGCCAAAAGAGGTGTTTGCTGAATGACAACCTGTCATTGAAGTGCAAATCTCTAAGCTCTCAAAGAAGGAATTACAACAAGGAAGGGCAGCATATTTGTCTTGGTGGTTGTAGAAATGTAGTAGCAAGTTTGATGTGTCTTTTGTTACTGATTGTTGTTGTTTTAGTTGTATTGAAATGAGACTAGGGTAGTGAAGTGTTAGAGTGGGTATGCATTAGTATGTATGAAGGAATGTATGAACTTGTGAATGTAATGTCATGAATTTGAATGAAATAAAGCTGAAATGCTATTATATTTCATGGCTAGCAAAATATGAACTAATAAAATTGGCTTTCTTTGCCCATTGCATAATAAGCACATAAAAGAGTTAGCCAAATACTATATTTCATAGGTAGCAAAATATGCACACAGCAGTGCATCCAAAATACCAAGTTTTCACATTGCACAAAAGTCTAACAAACTAATTGTTCCTTAGTTGCTAAATATTACAGTACAGTTGAAAGAGTTAAGAGTTAATAATTGTTTTGGCACTATGATTAACCCCCCCCCCCCCAAAAAAAAAAAAATGGAGCCTAAGTCTTCTGTTTCTTCCCCTTTCCTTTCTTCAGTGTCTGTTGTTGTGGTGCTGTTGTTGTTGTTGATGCCTGTGATGCTTGGGTGCAGGCTGCATGATCTTGAGACCTTGTCTGCAGGTTCTTTGGAGGTTGTTTCATGGGATTCTTGGTTGCAATACTGTGAGGCCCAGGAGTTCCACCAATCTGTGTTACACCAACAAAAAACACAAATAAAAGAGAAAAACAGAACACCAAAAAACCAAGAATTATAAACTTCAATGCAACATGCTATTTATATGAACACCAAACCCACCTTACTAGCAGCCCTTTGCTCCTTCTTCCTTCTTTGTTCAATGTTCCAATCATCTTGGAGAGTAGGCTTGCCAGGTGGTGCTTTAGGAGTATGCAATGGTAGATTGGCACAAGTCTTGGAATAATGACCAAGCTGTCCACAATTGCTGCATTGTTTCTGTTTTTTCTGACTCTTTACAGCTCTGTCAGGTTCTTCCTCACCTCTCTCCAGCTTTCTTTTCTTAGACTTTGGCCTTCCAGGCATGGCTCTCATTGCTGGAGGTAGTGGCTCTTTGAATCCATGCTTCTCCCAATGCTTAGGCCCTGGCATGGGCTTGACAGGTTCCTCATATGCATACATATATGTCTGCCTTGTGTAATACACATCAACATAGTCTTCAGGATCTTGTCCAATAAGCATGCAAACCCATGTACACATGGAATCTCAGTCAATTGCCAATGGTAACATGTGCAAGTCCTCTGACCTAAGTCAACAAGCACTGTATCACCATTTAGCTCAACCTCATATGAGTCTCCTCTTGAGATTTGCACTATACAGTGCCTTGCAACCCTCTCAATCCTTTCAAAAATTTTATTCACATAAAGCATCAATTTCCCATCCATTTTCTGTACAGCCTCCCATTTCTCATTATGTCTCTTCATCATATACCTTCTTAACCACTCCATTTGAGTGAGTATTGGCTTGTCCCTAGCATCTCTAATGACAGCATTGAATGTCTCACATACATTATTTAGCAGCATATTTGATTTGCAGTCAGTTGGGAATGCATGTCTAGATCAATGCTTAGGTTCAATGTTATCTAAGTACACAAAGGCATCTTCAGACAGGAACCTAATTGATTCCATTGCTATTCAAAGTCAATCTAGCAAAACAAACACACAAAACCAGCAGGAATGAATGACTGACTGAACTAACTACTCTCACATCAAACTAACTAAAAACAGTCACATAACAAAGCAAGCCACAAAGACAAACAATGCAAAGCTCAATCATAGTCATCTATATAAAACAGTAACATCAAAAAAGAAAGAAAACAAAAAGGAACCAAACTCACAGTTGTGGTAGCCCTTGCTGCACTCCAGAACAGCTCTTTGAAGGTGGAGCCTGTGAATTGAAGCTTAAAGTTGGCCCAGCTATGCCTCACACGGTACCTCTTCTCAGCTGAAGGTACTGCCAACTCAAATGCTTCAAGTAGGCCCTGTTTTCCAATAAACCACTTACAGTTATTAGATTAAACATAGTTAGAATTCAAATAAAAAAAAGGAAATATTGTAGTTAGCAATCACCTTTTGTCTGTCAGACATGAATGTCTAACCACCACCTTCACATACATCACCAAGGTCCTTTTTCAGGCACTCTAAGAACCAACACCAAGTCTCTTTATTCTCCACTTCAACTGTAGCCCAAGCCAATGGGTAGATGTTGTTATTTCCATCTTTGCCCACTGCCACTAGAATTTGACCTGGGTATGCTCCCTTCAGATGGCAGCCATCAAGTCCTATTAGAGGTCTGCAGCCTTTAATAAACCCACTTCTTAGTGGCTGAAGACAAATGTACATCCTCAAAAACAATGGTCTCTCAGGGCTGCTGTGATCACCATCAACAACTATGTTCACCCCAGAAGCAGGGTTGTACTTGATTACAGCCTTTCCATAATCATACACTCTGGCATATTGCTCTGCAGCTGACCCATAAATCTTCAGCTTAGCTCTAGCCCTAGCAAGCCACCCCATTGAATAAGTGATGTTAATGCCTAAGTCACTAAGCACCCTAGCCTGTAAAGATTTGATTTTCCAGTTAGGATTGCGCCTCCATTCCTCAACATACTTTTCAGCAATGTACTCAGCATTTACCTTGGAGTTCATCTTACTCCTCATACACCTATGCTTCATAATCAATTCCTTGATTTGCCAAGCACTGCTGTTATGCAGTCTTCTAGCTATCACCTTAAAGGGGCACCTTTTCACCTCCTCACCACACTTGCAATTCCCTGGCAGATTTCTTCTCTTGGCACTCCACTCACAATTACACCTTTTTTTGCAATATGTTGTTACCCTGTCACCCCCATTATGCAGATAGTAATACTCATATCTGTTCTCTATTGCATGTGTCCTCAAGGCTTTCCTAAGTACCCTACTGTTACTGAACTGCAGCTTGTTCACAAGCACAACTGGTTTTTTGAAATCAGTTTCTTCATGAAACCATGGACTGTGATCTTCATCTTCATCTGACCCATTCAAGCTTCTAAGCTCATCTGACTCAGACCCTCATCCTTCAAATCTGGTTCCTTACAAGAGAAATCCTTAACTAGTTGCACAGCTAAATCCTTTGTCCCTTCATCCCCATATTTCACAATCTGCAAACTCCTATTTACCTCACCTAAAATAGTATGAGAACCTTGTCTGTTAACCTCATCATCATCACTATATGCCTCTTCTTCTCCAGGCAACCAGCCTATATCTAGATCAGACTCATCTAAGCTGGATGAACCAGACCCTGAAGCATCCTCATCATCCAAATTCAGAGCCCTCCTTGTTTTACTTACCCTCCCTTTACCTTTCCTTGTCCCTTTACCAGGACTCACACCAGAACTGCCATCTTCTTCTGTTACCTTACCCTTCCCCTTATCAACAGATCTAGAAAATCTAGGGCTTCTTCTCACAACCTTCTTTTTCACTATCTCTTTTGTTTCAGGTATTACAGACAGTTTTAGACTCCTTCTCAGTCCAAGTTCAGCATGTGTGTTTGAGTTTTTTTGGCTTTCAGGTGGGCTACTTTTCACTACAGTTGCCTTCTTTTGTCTTTGCTTTTAGGTGGGCTTTGTTTGGGTTGGGTTACATGTATTTGCAGTATGGCCTTGCACAAATGTAAATGACTGGGAAGTGGGGTTTGAAGTGGAATGCAGCTGGCTAGAAGTGGGGTTTGAGGTTGGGTTATTGTCTTCAACAAAAGTGCTTTGGGGGTCCTGACTAGGGGGAGGGTGATCAGACACTG